AAAAATTTTTTTTGGAGATATATTTTGCCCTCTTTTGTTTTTGTTTTTAATTACTTAGTCTTCAGTTGATATACATTTTAAATGGCACGTCTCAATTTGGACTGACCACAATTAAGATTTCATAGCCACGTACATAACTAGAGCCCACTGTGTTAGTATTTTTCTAGAACTACTTCTGGTTTTGTTTTTGAGACAGAGTCTCACCTATGTAGCCCTGGCTAGCCTGGAACTGGCTATATAGACCAACCAGATAAACCTTGAACTCAAAGAAATCCACCTGCCTCTGCCTCCTGCACACTGAGACTAAAGGTGTGTTAGAATTACTTAAAAGAGAATGCTATTGTGTGTCCATGAAAACTTTATGAATATGAGCTTTTAAAAGAATGAAATGGGGGTGGGAATTTTTTTTTTAATATAAATAAGATCATTTATTTGGGCCAGTTTATTTTACACAGAGAAGCTATTACTGACTATCCAAAAATATTGATATGTTGGCATCATGTCATCTCTTGTAGTGTATGGGATTTTTCTAATATCTGATACTGATAAAACTGCCTATGATAATCTTAGTAGTTAGCAATCTCCAAACTAATTGATTTCCTTCACGGAAGCAAAATTAATTCCAGGGACTTTGTTTCTAAAGTTTCTGAGTTTTGTGCAGTCAATTTTGAAGGATTACCAAGAAACATTTTTTAACTTGTTGTCTTTTTTATATTCAGAGAATCTTTATAAAAATTCTGATAACTTCAAATGCTAAGAGCATTGTCAGCCATGGTTTTGGTGGTAGATTGCGCACACAGAGATCTAAAGTACCACCACTCCCCCAAAATGTTGCCTTCTAACTAGCCTTCTAGGCTTCTGGTCCACAGTCACATAGGTTAGCATGGCATTTCCTTTCTCAGCTACTCTAAGTAGGTGGAGAACTAGTGGATCCCTCCCTTGGATAAAGTCATTGCCAAGGCCAATAATGTGCATGATAATTGAAAGCCAGCCTCTCAAGAGGTTCTCATTATTTGTAAAATCTGGACTCTTTAAAAACTCTAAATTGATGTTGCCCCTGAGAATGCATGTGATTGCTATGTTTGAGAAACCCATTCCTAAAAGATAATGCTGTTTGGGGGGTTACATTCTTGGGTGAAAAGCTTGGCCTGGCCGTAGTTCTTAAATATTCCTTATAAAACCACTTTGTTAGAAACAAAGTTCTTTCATATTTAGTTTATTTGTATCTGTTTTCTTTTGTTAAGCACTTTATCTTTGTTAGTGTGCTGCATTTGCAAATATAATTCAGAAATTCTAAATTATGTAAAAAAATGATAAAGCATAATAAATGAATGTCCTTTTTTGCATTCAACTTGTTTTGTACTATATGTAATCAAAATACATTCTCTTAAATACTCTGATTTTAAAGTGATTCCTTCGAAATGTCAGTGTTGTCTTTTCCCAGCCAAGCCCCTGTTTACAGAGTGTGATTTATTCTGACAGTGATGCAGATGGGCTAGCTTCATTTGTGTCAGCAAATAATCTTTGGTTTGGTTTTGTTTGGTTTATGCTTTTTGAGACAGGGTCTTTCTATATAGTCCTGTCTGTCCTGGAACTTGTTATATAGACAAGGCTGGTCTAAAACTCACAAGAAATCATCCTGTCTCTGCCTCCCAAGTGCTGGTGATAAAGGCATATGCTACCACACCTGGCCTGCATCACATAATCTTACAAAATTGCTTTTTGTTTGCAGTTTGTAACAATTGTCTTTTCCAATGAGTCTCATAATGTGAAATTTTTTTTTTCTTGAAGATTGTGATAGCTGGTTCGAAACAGCAATGTGAAAAGAGACTGTCCCAGGGTTTCTGCTGTCTTATTTCTACTTAGAAAATATTAAAATGTTTTTGCAAAGCACTCCTTATTGGTCCTACTGTGCTGTCTTGTATATATTCAGTACATGTGGAGTTCAGATTTGATAATGTTTTATGGTGTGCTGGTCATTGGCCCAGCTTCTTTGAATGTCACTATCTCTATTTGTAAGCTGGAAATTCAGTGGCTGCCATGGGAAATGACATAGTTGTCAGTAGCCCGAGAGGACAGCTGCCCCGTTCCTGGCAGTACTTAGGATGACTTCCATGTTTTCAGTGCTTATGTAGTAGTTTAACAATAAGTACTTATTATTCTCCCCGTTACTGCCCTTGATAGCTGTTGGAAAGTATGTGCATACATTCATCTGTAACTTGAATTTTAACCATTAACCTAAAAATTATGTAGGGATTATTACTACTTTTCATTTGTACAAGAGGAAACCTGCCCCTCTAATTCAGAGAGTTAAAGCCCCTCTGAAATTGCTGCAGTTGTCCAACACACAGTTCCCAGCCACATTTACAAGATGAAAATGGAATTGCCTGCAAGTAGGTTGAAATGGCCCTAATGAGGCAGGCAGAAGACCTAAAGTCTTTTCTGAGCTTAGTGGGATAGACCTGTGTCCGACAGCAATGTCCTTACTTCTAAAAGTGAGAGCTGATGCTGGAATCTGCTGCTGGCTCCCAGCATTGTGCTTAGATCTGATCTTCATTCACAAACTAGTTTGTTTTCTAAACCAAGGTTTTGGTTCTGCACCTCATAACTGGCTGTTGTTGGCCTAATCCTACATGTAAATCACTGGTCTGCTGCAGTGAGTGAGGATCAGATACATAGTACCCACTATGTTTGAGCCACGCAAATTTGTCATTTTACCTGAAGTTGAAAGGCATTTTTTCAATTCTTCCCAGTTCTGATGAAGTCATTCCTAGGTGTTTTCTGTCCCATTTTGGGAATCTTAAATCTGGGCTTATTTTACTTACACATGTCAGTTTGGTGTAAGCGCCTTACTTTGTTGGTTGCATTATTCTTACTAGGTCCAAGCTTTGTTATGTTTAGATTCTTCTAATATTAAATCTGTGTAAAAATGTATGATATGCTACAAACTTTATGCATAATAAGACTAAGTTATAGCCTATTGTAACCTATAAAACATTTCTTGTAAATTATCTAATTTATTTTTCCATTTATGTACAGTTTCTTAATGTAAATTTTTTAAATTTGTTGTGGCCTGCTCTAAACATTCCCATGCTTTTTCCCTTAATGCTTATATGCATGAAAGAATCTTGGGTTCTTCATTTGTACTATGTAGCCAGCCTTTAAGCCAACTTCAGGGTGTCTACCTTTTCTGTAGTTTCTAACTTTTTCTAATTTGTTAATATTATAAAAAGTGTTAGAATCATGCTTTTTATACCCTACTTTCAAAATAAATTCTCTTATTTACTACATGTGTCTCGATTGTTTCATCTGACAGTACCAAGTGGCTGCATTTCCACTCTAATTCAGCATAAGGTTTGATTTCATGGCAGTTAACCGATAGATTAGAGCATAAACTCCATGGGATTGAGGGCATTGTAAAGATTTGTTCACTCCTGTATCACCAATACCTGGTACTGAGAAAGTATTCAATAAATGACATGTTTAATGAACTGACTATAAAGTGTCCTTATGTATCTAGTCTGCTTGATTGATTAAGATAGTATACCTTCAAAGACTCACACCTTTCTTTCTCATTCTGGAAGTGAGACCATTTTTCTGTGTGTATGTACATTGACAGGATTTTTCTGAGATGTCAGGACATCTGTGATACCTTGGTGGCACAATTTGAGAAAGATTTTTATTTTGTGTGTACTGTGTGCATGTCTGGTAGGTAGCCAGGGAGGCCAGAAACTGGCGGATTCCCCTAGAACTAGCGTTAAAGATGGGTGTGAGTGCCGTGAGTGAACCACTGTCTTCTGCAAGAGCAGTAACTGCTCTTAACCACTGAGCCATCTCTCCAGCCCATCTCATGTTTAGTGGTCAATGCCTGTGTGAGAGGGCAAAGTTCAAACTTTGTCTTGACTCCAGGTATATAGTAACAATTGAACTGTGATGTGAAACAACCCTCCTGTTAAAATCCAGTGAGCAGGAAGTAGGATGAGCATGAAACCCTCCTCACTGGATGAGGATGGTGAAGTGTGGAAACACTGCATTTGAGGGTTGATTCAGCTCTCCACGTACAAAGTGCAACCTGCAGTTGGAAGTAGCTGCTAAAGAGTTCAACACTACACCAAAGTGTAATTGCTTTGTTCAAAATCAATATTACATGTGGGAAAGAAAGTTGATATTTGATTTTGTGGGTGCTATGTAAATTGTGGAAGCAAACTGTTTATTGACATTTCTCAATTGTGGCCAGTGTATCTTAACCACTGATGGTCTGGCATCCACAATCTATTGACCAGGTCTATGGTTTGTAAATTTTGGTTTTTCGAGACAGGATTTCTCTGTAGTTTTGGAGCCTGTCCTGGACTAGCTCTGTAGACCAGGCTGGCCTCCAACTCTCAGGGATCCACCTGCCTCTGCCTCCCAAGTGCTGGGATTACAGGCGTGCGCCACCACTGCCCAGCTTGTAAATTTAAGATTATTTCTTTACATTTCGGTGGCCTTTTATGCAACGTCTTAAGACTGGTTGGCCATACTGACTTTGAGCTTTGTTATTGAGACAGGTTCTTGCTCTGTAGCTCAGGCTGGCCTTCGGACCCTGTGTAATCCAACCCCAACTCTTTCTGGCTGTCGAATTCAC